AAAATTCCCAAGTATTTAACTTTACTAACCACTTCAAAACCTGATAAATGCATAAGTTGTTTTTTGTCTTTAACAGTCATATTCTTTGTGAGAATTTTAGTCTTTTGAACATTAGTTCTAAATCCAGCCACCTTGCCATATTGATGCAGCACTTGCAACAAAGTTTCCAGTGACTCAATTGGTTGAGACAGTGTAAAAATATTTGTAAATCATGGTTGAAATGAGGTGTGATGATGTTTGGGTAATGAAATGTCTGTAAGAAAACAATCAGGCACAGAGAGCACCAATGACCCCTGATCATTATGAGGGTAACTTTGCCATTATCACGTTCTATAAAGTTTTTTAAGGTTTCATCTGTACTATATTCTATAGTTCTTCTCCATTAGTACAAATATCTTTTGTGATTTATCACTGCTTAGTGTTAAGATGAAATGTATCTGAGTAAATGGCAGATTTGCCAGCTTCAGTTCTAAACACTAGGACTTAACAAGTATTTGTGTTAGCAGTATGTAACCTGTTCATAGGAAATGCTGCCCTTCTTGTAAGAGAATAGGAATGCAACCCTTCTGGAAAAAGAAAAAGAAAATCTTAGCCCTTGGGATATGTGTCAGGGTTACTTTTTGTTAGTTTTTTTCAGCATAATGATATCACCTTTCTTTTTCATCTCTGGTGAATTGCCATGTTAGCTAGTTTTTAAGATCATGATATTCTCTTAAGAACTATGCTTCATTTTTAATAACGTAGTAAAAGTAAGTTGATTCTATAACCATTAATATTAATCTAATAGACAATATGTGTAGCTCAGGGTTGAACTGTGAAGTTCTTGGTGCTCTCTGACCATGGTTGCTTGCTTGCAGACATTTCATTAGTCAAGTAGGTAGCGACTGAGGATGGGGTTTGCTTATATATATATTAGTGGCTTGCAGACTGCTATCTATAAACTGTTATTCAGTTAGGATGCTGATAACAAATTTTGCTTAACAAATTCAGATTCAAAAGAGAAATTGATTTAGGATATAGAAATATATGTTGTATCTCTCAGCCCCTAATTAAACCAAGGTTGTACACAACATTTTCCTCGACCGACCTGAGAAAGATGGTCCCATATGGCCAGCAGTTGTCTCGCAAAGGGTCAGGTGGGCAGGCCTCAGCAGGAGCAAGAAAACAGCAAAAGTCACTTGGGAAAGCAGAGCACAAGGCGGCAGGACTTTTGGAGTGCAGGAAGGCAAGGGACAATTGCAGCTGGGACAGCTCAGGCTTCCTGGGGTGGCTGCAGTTTTTCACCACGCTGCTGGGTCTTCCCAGAATGGCTGCATGTGTTTCATTGCTGGAATAAACTGACCTTCCCGGATTGGCTGCAGCTTTGCACTGTGCTACTGAGCTTAGGGTGGCTGTAGCTTCACACCATGCTGCACTGGTGGGATGGCTGAAGCTTCCAGGGTTGGCTGCAGCTTCATATTGTGCTGTGGCTCAGGGGCTTCTTGCAGCCTAGAGCTGTGGCATGCCAAGGAACCCCTCAAGTGCAGCATGGCAAGCAGCCCCACATACGGTCATACGGTTCTGAAGCTTCTTGCTGCCCCACAAGGCAAAGTGACGGGCAGCAAAAGAGCAGAGAATTTTTTTTTGGGGGGGGAATAGGCAATTGTGGGGAGTTGAAAGGAAGGCAGTCCCTTACCTTGGAAAAACCAAGGCTCGGGGCTGAGAGGAACCAAGCCAGAATGCCTCAGATTGGGGTGGTTCTTGGCTAATGACTGATGGAATTTGGTTAATGACAATAGGGAGTGCCATCACTAAATAATGCAGTCATGTGACGTTGCACGTTACAGCTATATCGCTTAGCAATGGAAATTCCAGTCCCAAATACTGTCATGACTCAAGGATTATCTGTATAACTCATAAACCAACACGTTTTAAGCAGAGACTGCAAATTAGGGAGGAATAGGTATTGCGTGGCACGTGGCTCATAGATCCTCTTCTGACTGCCTTCCATAACCCTAAATTAAGTTGATTTGAAGAAGTATATGCTATATTCCAAATTACACATCTCTAGTATGTTTCGTACCTATAAGATTTGCAGGTGAGGGTGGACACCTTTTTAACACTCCCAACTGGCTAAACTACCATTCTTAATAGCTCAGGACAGCATGGGTAATACTGAAGAATGCTGTGAGTTGTAATTCAGCAAATAATTGGAAGGCCACAGGTTTTCTGCCACCTGGTAAAGAAATCTGAATTGCCTCCTATTTGTTCAAACATGAGCAGTGTCAAAACCTCTAGGTTTTATGATTATCAGTAATATGTTTGTTCCAGTTGTAAACAATTCAGAAAACAAAATTTAAAATTCAGAAACAATTATTTTACTGTGTTGAGTGTGTATGCTTTTAGTCAGCTTTTTAAAATCTTGGCAACTGCCTAGACAAACTGCAGTTTTCTTGGTAAACTTTTTCGGAAGTGGTTTGCCATTGCCTCCTTCCTAGGGCTAAGAGGGAGTGACTGGCCCAAGTTCACCCAGCTGGCTTTGTGTCCAAGGCAGGATTAGAACTCACAATGTCCCGGTTTCTAGTCTTGTGCTAAAACCATTACTCCCAAGTTGCTAATCAGATGTTTCATCAGTATTCAAGGGATAAAGCAATTATTCCTTCTCACGCCTCTTTATATGTTTCATTGCAATGTAAATATTAACAAGAATAGAATTATCACCAATGTTTTAAACATTTTAAAGCATTAAATTCGATTTGTGTCTTGTATGATTGCAAAGTGTGCCAATACAAAGCCACGACAGTGTTACATTAGAGGAAATACTGTACTGTTTTCTTTTAATTAATGCTGCACAGAACGTTGCATCTGAAAATTTCATTAGAAGTTTATAGTGGAATGTAAGCCCAATACTTAATGCATGCTTAACATCATGTATATTCATACTTACTGAGGTAATCAGGGTTGTCAAATTGAAGGATATTTAAATATGCTAAATTACTTGTATATCTTTCTTTTTTTGTATAAATAAATCATAATTAAATCTGGAAAGAGAGATGCAGTTATACAGCCTTGCAATAATAAACACTTTAGACATTTTAAAATTGCAGGCTTAGATCCAGGCTATAAATATATAAACCTGTAGCAAAATGGATCATAACATTATAGTGATATACCTTCACTTTCCATGTATTTCACATGCTGAGTGTCTGTATTAGAAATGTAATGCTTGTGTTTAACAATTTCAGTGCATTTTTTAACGGCATTGGAGATACTTTTCTCCAGATTTGCCTTCAATAAAGTTCACAATGTTTATTGCATTTCAAACAAATTTGAGTAAGAGTTTGCTTCTGAGTTGTTCCACTTAATTCTCCAATTAAAATGTAACCTTTATAATCTAATAGCAGGCTTGTTCATACAGTATATTAAAACAGGTCTTCATGTAGCCACAGACATGGTTTGGTGTAGTATATCTTAACAAGTACTAGTTCAAAAAGGCTTCATCACTTGATTAAATATGGTAGATTATAGGGAGCGTAAGGAGTATTGAGAAGGAAGAATATAAGGCAATGAACTTTGTATGAATAAAAATCTACTTTGTATGATGTTGGGGGTAGTTCCAAGTTATCAGGCTAGTGATTCCAGCCACCAAAGGTAACAGTTTAGTATAGTTGAATTGTATTACTGCCATTTAATCTATTTCCAACCCTTCTATACACCATTTTGTTACAAAACTCAGAATGCTACAACTCTGCTAACTGCATCAAAAATTATATTGTTTGCTTATTTTGTGTATGTTACTATTCCAGTTGTGATAGGGGTCTTTCATACAGCTGTTTTACATCATTCCTTCTGTTATTTTTTTTTCCAGCTTTTTCTTCTTCCTCCCCCCTCTGTCATAAAAATGAATGTTGCTTTATCTTGAGCCTAATTACTAGATGCATATCGAAGTCTTCTTGTATCACAACTACAGAAAACAATCTTCTTTATAATGTATAATTGTTATACAGATACTCCTCAACTTACAAGAGTTTGCTTAATGACCGTTTAAAGTTACAACAACCCTGAAAAAAAGTGACGTATGACTGTTTTCCATACTTATAGGAACCAGTTCATATTTATGAGGGTTGCAGTATCTGGGGAGTCATGTGACCATCTTTTGCGACCTTTTGACAAGCAAAGTCAATGGGGAAGCCAGATTCACTTAACAACCATGTTACTAACTTAACAACTGCAATGATTCACTTAACAACTGTGGCAAGAAAGGTCATAAAATGGGACAAAACTCACTTAAGAAATGTCTCATTTAAATTTTGAGTTCCATTGTCGTAAGTTGATGACTACCTGTACATAGTCTTCACTTAATAACCAGTTACTTAGTGGCTGTTCAAAGTTATGTCTTATCCCACAAAAGCTATTTACAACCCACTTATGGAACTTTGATGGCTGTACCCCATGGTTATATGACCACATTTCAGGTGCCTGGCATAGAGCTCATCTTATTAGCCAGTTCCAGTGGTCTGCGGTCACATGACCATGATTTACAGCAGTTTTTGCCTGTTTCCGGCGAAATAAGCACATAGGAATACATGATTGTGATGTTTACTTAACAACTGCGGCAAAAAAGTCATTAAATTGGGTCCAGTCGCTTGGGTATCTTGACTTATGACAGAAATTCCAGGCTCCATTATGGTCCTAAGTCAAGGACTACATGTATTCCATTTTCTTTATTCTTTTCAATTTATTTAAAATATTTCTTTGTTCCATGGAGGTTTATGTAGCAAGCTATGGATTATTTCAGATTATTTTATTGTACTCAGCCCAGTTTGAAAATCTGGATTGAAGCTATGAATAAACATATAATTTTGGAGGGGGATTGAATAGTGACAGATCTATCTATTGTGATAACACTGGAGACCTTTCAGACCTTAATTTAAGCCAGAATTTTGTGTCCTTTCTTCCAGCAGTTCCCCATCCCCCATTTTACTAGACTTCCTCTTGTAAATTCTTAAGTATAAAAATAATACATGGATGTATCATTTTATTCTGCTTGCTTCTATCAAGTTAAAAACAATGACATTGTTACATATTTCCTAAATAAGCTTAGGATAATTAGCAGGCTATTTAATTGCACTGAGTAATATTTTAGTTAATTTAACATTTTTTTTTCTTTATAGGGAATACTCCTTTACATCTTGCTGTGATGCTGGGTAATAAAGGTTCGTAAATATATGTCAATATATCTATTTTATTTTAATGCATTATCACCAGTTAACCTCCAGAAACAGATTTTTCTTCCCTTAGCTATTAAAGCTTAGCATATGTTGAAATTGCTTGAAGACTTTGCTAAAGTGAACAACAAAACAATTTCTGTCTATACTTTTTCCTTCTACTTTAACTATCCCATTCTCTTTTAATCTTGGGACAGAATTATTTATTACATAAATTGAGAATGAAAACTCTCTTAAATTAGCTTCACTTCCTTGCTGATTATGCGATCATTTCTAAAATTATACAGTCTTCAGTACACCATTACAAGTTCTAGACTTTTTCATATATCAGTTCAACAACTGCCTTAAATAAGGTATTTTATTCTGTAGCTGGATCCTGGATCACACATTATCTCGAAATAATTGTATTCAATTACTGACTATCAATTAAAAGTTATTTGGTTCATCGGACATTTCCATTAATAGATTGTGAAGGCAATTTTTACTCTCCCCCCCCCCATTACCTTCTCTACTACATCTTATGTAATTATAAGGATATTCTGTCCCTTCAAGGCAGACTTGATAACTTTTAAAGAAAAAAATTCTCAAGTTTTTATTTCATTTAATCTTCCTGGTGGTAGAGTTATTGAGTTGAGTTAAGAAGAAACTGCCGTTTGTCGTATTGTAATCAATGGAACAAGTTGATATGATGGAATGTACTAGCCTGGATTCCCAGAAGGAAGTCCAGATTAGTACATTCCATCCGAGTTATTCAGGACAAAAGCTTTGATTCTATTGGAACCAAAGCATAGCTAATTTCTTTTGATTCAGCCCACTGTGCTTGGAAATCCACACAGTACCTTTATATGGCTTGTACCAAAACAGTAACTCAGAATGATTCAGAAGCAAACAGTATCCTCCATTAATTTAACACACAGCTCCATTACAAGAAATTTGTTATTTTTATGTGATTAGTTAATGGAAACTTAATGTTATTGTTTTATCTACTATAATTTATTACAGAATGTGCTCACTTGCTTTTGGCCCACAATGCTCCCGTCAAAGTGAAAAATGCTCAGGGATGGAGTCCTCTTGCAGAAGCCATCAGCTATGGAGATAGGCAAATGAGTAAGCAATTATTTCTCTGATTTTGTGTAAGAAACCTATTTAGTTTTTGAAGGAACAATATGCAAAGTACTGGAGAATTGAGGTTTTACTGCAACTATGAAATAAATCAAGAACAAAGTGTGCATTTGTGTGTACAGGTAGTCCTGTACACACAACTGATGGCCATTTAGTGATCGAAATTATAACGGACTCCCAAAAGGTACAATCCAGTTCTGAAATTCAAGTGGGCAAGAGAGCTCCCACTTGTCACAGTCACGTGACCACATTTCAAATTTAAGCAGCCATCCTGTATTTATGGCCATTTGCCACAACATGATCACGATTTACAATGTTTTCACCAAACTTTGTCATTTAATTTTTGTTTTTGTTTGTTCGTTTCTAAAGCAAATATTTTCTTCAATATACCGTGTTTTTCCCAAAATAAGCCCTGGAAAATAAGCCCTTAGCATGATTTTTCAGGATGCTCGTAATATAAACCCCACTCCCAAAATAAGCCCCAGTTAAGATCATCAGTCAGACAGACGCATTTAGTACCATATTTTCCCCAAAATAAGACCTAATTGGAAAATAAGCCCTAATGCGTCTTTTGGAGCAAAAATTCATATAAGGCCTGGTTTTATTTTCGGGGAAACACGGTATTTGTGTATTGGTATGTGCTTCTTATATGTATTGTATTTCTGTGATTTATGGCTTACAGTGAATTTATTTAGTTACAGCACTCTTAAGGAAACTGAAGCAACAGTCTAGGGAAAGTGTTGAAGAAAAGCGACCTCGATTATTAAAAGCCCTGAAAGAGGTAACTAATTAAATGAGGATTCTATCACAATGCTGTTAATTTTAATAAAATAGTTTGGTTGCATTCATTTTCAAAGTTACAGTTTTCCTAATTAAACCTTACATTTCTAAATGTCATTTTGCTGTGCCAGATTTTGGTGCTGATCTATAAGTGAATCATTATGTAGCAGCAGTATGGATTTTTAGGAAAAAAATGTTGTGGGTGTACTTCTGTAGTTGTATGATACTTATGCCTGCTGGAAACACCAGGCATTGATAAAAACCTGTTTAACATTTAAAGTCTCAGGAGGAGATGCAATTAATATGTTCTAAGTTAATTTGGCTTTGGTTTTGGTTGGATTGTTCTAAATGTTAACAAATTATATATGCAGGCCTGTAACTGCTCCATCTCAGCCTATATAGTATTGTGGTCCTGTGAGTGGTAATATAAAATTAAATCAGCTGTGGGAAAGCAGAAGCAATTTTGAACAGTGATCTCTTGTAATCCTAACCATATGTGATTTGCATATCATAAAATGAAATATCTTTGTAAGATAATATGATAAGTAAATTAATTTTAAAAAAATTGTTTTACAAACATGTTTTGTAAGACCATGGTAAAATAGCCAAATTGCAGTATGCATTCAAATATATATTTTTTAAAAAGTCACGATGTATTAAGTTTTAAATGTAGTATTTCTCTTCAGCTAGGTGACTTTTATCTTGAACTTCACTGGGATTTTCAAAGTTGGGGTAAGTTTTTTTTTTAAATGCATAGAGTCATTGATGACATACCATCAAATTGCTTATGATTCTTAGTGACCACTCATATAGACTATAGAGAGATTAAAAACTTATTAGTACTTTTCCAGAAAATAATTTCTGCTTAGGAAGGTGCAAATTCATAAAATACATTTTTATGTAACTTTATAGGAGCATTTCATCACATTCATATGAACCGTGATGGCGAAGTAGTTAGAATGCAGTTTTGCAATTCTAACCAGATCAAGGTTGACTCAGCCTTCCATCCTTCCAAGGTTGGTAAAATGAGGGCCCAGATTGTTGGGGGCCACATGCTGACTCTGTAAACCGCTTAGAGAGGGCTGTAATGCACCATGAAGCGGTATTTAAGTCTTCGTGCTATTGCTATTGCTGTGCTTGTGAGGCATGTTAGATACAGAAAATCCAAATGCCATTAATTGTACAATATGTTTACAACGTTCTGGTATTTAATATTTTAATTATGTATATAATACATTTTAAAGACTATAGTGAATTATAAAACTGGTATAGCATTACACTAATGAATGAAAGCAGCACATGGGTGATTCTTTGCTGAGGAGCTTCTGTTCTGCCGTTATGTGCACTAAATCTACTGGAGAAAAGGGCCTTGACCAGTGGAATTGTACAGAGGGAAGCTTCCACCCCACTTCAGATCCCAACTATGCAGCTTCATAGTTGTGGGCAAACTTTCATGTATTTCTCTCATTATTATATGAAATCACCCTTTAGGACAGTGTTTCTCAACCTTGACAATTTTAAGGCATGTGGATTTCAACTCCCAGAATTCCACAGCCAGCATTGCTGGTTGTGGAATTTTGGGAGTTGAAGTCCACATGCCTTAAAATTGTCAAGGTTGAGAAACACTGCTTTAGGACCAGGGTTTCCCAACTCATGGCAACCTTAAGATGCGTGGACTTCAACTCCCCCTGCTGGCTGGGAAATCCTGGGAGTTGAAGTCCATGCATCTTAAAGTTGCCAAGGTTGGGAAACACTGATGTAGTCATTGGTGCTTTATGGAGGGATTCCAGAATGAGCAGCTGCTTAGGGTCTTAGGGTTTATAGCTATTTGATATTTGTGTTGATGTTTCATTTCATGTTGCTGTTTCTCCTAAGCATAAGTGTAGTATGTTATAGTTGGGACACGTTTCTCCCCTGATCTGACTTAAAAAAGAATTCCAATTTGTGACATCATCTGTTCCTTGATGATGTTATTCTGTCTCTTGTTCCCTCAGTCGTAGTGAATAGATTAGGAGCAGCCCCTCAGCATGTCTGCTTCATCCCTCTCTCTGGTGTTTTGAGTTTCTCAGGGCTTCACATGCAATTTCCAATTTAATTGCCCTTCCCCATTTTCCATATAAGTTGCTGTTACATCTGTATTTTATTCAGACTTTAACCCCCACTTCTGGCTGTGGTTTAAAAGCTATGTGTGATTAGCATTCAAATTAATGAAATAAGAGTGCCTGCTTAAGGATACTGACAACAAGAGAGTAATTGTTTGAGTAATCAGGGAGAAAGCCCAGCAGTTAGAAATATATTCCTAATGTAACCAGTTAATGATTCATTTTAGAAATATCTGTATTGACCCAATATTGTAACAGAAATTGTGTACTGAAAGAAAGAATCGTAATTGTAATGTTACTTTTAATGCATAACATTACTTTGTAAACCATTCAGAGGGTGTTTTGCAAAGTGATTAAATGCTTTTTTGAGCCCACTGCTCAAAGCATCCAGAGCAGACCTGCAAAGCAGCTGCACTGAAATTTGAGAGGCTGCAGTGCTTTGATCCTTTAAAAAGCAAATAGTTCATACCGTTTTCCTTTTAGTATTTTATTGTTTCTTCCAAACACAAACTGAAAAGGGTTTTGTTAACTTTGTTATGCAGTATATTTGATAACTCTTAAAAATGTAACTCTTATCAATTTGAATTCCAAGAATTTTGGTAATAAAAAGTATTTTGGTATTATTGTATAAGAATTGATACTTTATAATGACATTTAGTCAAACTGTCTCATTTTTGTCAAATTCAGTGCCTTTACTTTCCCGAATCTTGCCTTCTGATGCATGTAAAATATACAAACAAGGTATAAATATCAGGTAAGAATATTCAACTTGCATTACATTAATCTATCATTTTTGCTTTAGAATTTTAATATTCCTTTTTTCCCATATGATTTAATGTAATTAAGAGAAGCAAATATTAACCTTTTTGGTTAGGAAATAAATTGTACTTAACAAGTTTACCAAGATTTTCATTAGAATTACCTTCATATTTTCTGTAATGTTCTGAAAACATTGATAAATAGAGCCCATCATTTGGAATAACTTCACGTGATGATAGACGAGTGACAGAAACCGGGAACAAGAGAATCTGCAGGTAGTCCTTGACTTACAACCACATATTTCTGTAACATTCAGATCCCAACTTTCTGTAAAAGTGTAACATTTGTTAAGTGAGTTTTGCCCCATTTTACGACTTTTCTTGCCACAGTTGTTAAACGAATCACTGCAGTTGTTAAGTTAATAACAATAGTTTCCCAATTGACTTTGCTTGTCAGAAGGCTACAAAAGGTGATCACATGACCACAGGACACTACAATTGTCCTAAATGTGAGTCAGTTGATAAGCATATGAATTTTGATCACATGACCATGCTGTAACGGTTATAAGTGTGAAAAACAGTCTTAAGTCACTTTTTTCCAGTGCAATTGTAACTTCATATAGTCATTAAATAAATTGTAAGTCGAGGACTACTTGCATAAGAAAACTTAATGTCAGTGGCCATGACAAGGCAGGGGTTAAGTGAGTCACACTCAATTTAACCACCTTTTATGTTGTGGTTGTTAAGCAAATCACTGCAGTTCTTAAGTGAATCACATGGTCATTAAGCGAATCCGGCTTCCCTCATTGATTTGGCTTGTTGGAAACTGGCTGGGAAAGTTCTACATGGGGATCACATGAATCCCAGGTTGTTGCAACCATTGTAAATGCATGCCAATTGGTAAGCATGCACATTTTTATCTCATGACTGTGAGGATGCTGCAATGGTTGTAAATTCGAGTACCAGTCATAATTCGCTTTTTTATGGTTGTAAGTCAAGGTCTCTCTCTGATTATCTATAGATAGATAGATAGATAGATAGATAGATAGATAGATAGATAGATAGATAGATAGATAGATAGATAGATAGATAGATAGATAGATAGATAGATAGATAGAGTAGATAGAGATAGATACAGATACAGCTATAGCTATAGATATAGATATAAACAGCAAACTTCCCTTTCTCTGGTGGTGTTGTCTAGCTGGATAATAAAACATCTGCAAAAAAAACAAGCTCAGAGAGCATCAAGAGTCCAACAATGCATTCTATTTAACTGAAAGTATCTATAATAAACAGTATAAAGCTCTCTCTCTCTCTCTCTCTCTCTCTCTCTCTCCGTTCTCATTTTGGAATATTTCTGCAGGCTTGATACAACCCTCATAGATTTTACTGACATGAAGTGCCAACGGGGGGACTTAAGCTTCATTTTCAATGGTGATGCTGCACCCTCTGAATCCTTTGTAGTTTTAGACAACGAACAAAAGGTTTACCAGCGAATACATCACGAGGTAGGCCATAGCATGGCAAAGCCATTTGCAGGTGCTGTGTATTCGGACAACGTACATTATTTTAGCATGGCTTTAAACCCAACACAAATGGAAAAACCTAGGTTTAAAATGCGCAACGTATAGCCCTGTGCAACGGTGTTTGCTCCCTTTTGAATTTGCTGATTTTTTATTATTTTTTGCAAAATGTAATACTTGTTTTATGGTAGGGTAGCAGTTCTCAGCCCAGAGCCATAAGGTGTCCTGGGGGCCCTAAGGTATTTCAAGAGGTTCACAGAAAAGCAAAGTGTATTATACTGCAACTACTGTCTTGTTGATGCCAGAAAACATGCCAGTTACCGTCTCATTTGCATATCCAGTAATAGGACTTGTACAGGAAACACAGGAAACAAATAAGGTTGGGAGGCTGCCACGGACGAAAAAAGGTTGAGAAACACTGTTTTAGGGTGTTATTTGTTCATTTAAATTCCTCCTATTCTGGATAGGCTGCTAAAATGCTTTGACAGGCATACCAGTTTGAACCTTCAATTAAAGCCTTTATATTTCAACAGGAACCACATGAAGTATTGATAACATTTATTGGAAAAGACAATGTAAAAATTCAAAAGCCCAAAGGGGAATGATACAGTTTTCCAGAACTGTAAGGTTTTAGTTCTGAATGCTATTTCTTGGAATGGAGCAAGCATTTTGTACAACAGATATGTATAGAAAAGGGCTATAGATGTACAATATTACTATTTTTAATACAAAAATAACGGCTGTTAGTTCAGTATTTTGAGCTTTTTTGTTCTATTTTTGTTTAGTGCCTAAAACTAATAATAATAGTGGCATTTCACTTTAATTGCCAGCATGCTATCTTATACCATATTTCCCCATAAATAAGACCTATCCTGAAAATAAGCTCTAGCTTGATATTTACGTATGCACCTAATATAAGCCCTACCCTCAAAATAAGGGTAGGGCTTATACCCTCAAAATTGGGGATGGAGCTGCCCCATGTGCCTGTACTTGCTTACCTCAGGTCTGCCGCAGCCAGGCCTCCCATGCCTCACAGCGCCGCGTTGACAGCCCCATTCAGAAGGAGCCTGCATGGCCGCCGCCAGCCCACTTTTTCAGCTCCTTACCACTGCTTGCGCGTGGCGCCCCCAGGCTTCATTTCACTGGCATAGGCCTTCAGGAAAGGCCTCTGCAGCTCAGAATGGAGCTCCGGGATGATGCGCGCGTCGCCCCCCAGCGTCCATTTCCCCAGCAAAGCTTCTGCAAGTTGCAGTCATAATTCTAGGACTGCTTGTAGTGTTCTCTGCGTGATGCTGTCTTTGGTAACTGCAATTCATTCAGAATGTGGCAGCCTGTTGGTTGGAGCAATTTTAACTTGTAAACCTTCTGGGAATTTGTAAAACTTGAATTCTTTCAGACTTTGTTTGAGAATCAGTAGAGATGCTGCTATCCGTGTTTTGTTAAATATAATTTTCCCCATTCAAGTTATTTTTGGTTTTAGGTTAAGGGTATTTTAATGATTATTGTTAGAGTTTTGTTGGTTAATTATCGCCCAGGAGTCCTTGGAGATGTAATAAATTATATCAACAGAAGGCATGGAGCATATCTCCTAGCAGTGGATAAATTACATCATTAAGAATAATTATTGGGAGACTCTCTGTTAAATACAAATTTGATTAGAGAAGAAAATGCTTATGTTTAAATATTTTGTTTCATTTAATACTATTCAATTTTATACTTTGTTAGGAATCAGAGATGGAAACTGAGGAAGAAGTTGATATTTTGATGAGTAGTGATATTTATTCAGCAACATTATCAACCAAATCAATCACCTTCACACGTGCCCAAACAGGATGGCTTTTCCGAGAAGATAAAACAGTAAGCTTATTTTTTATTTTAAAATTACCATCTATTTTATAGTAATGAGGCACTAAGGCAAAGAAGATGAAGTCACTTGGACTATTATGGCTCCTTTGTTTAATCTCTGAAGTGGGAAGGTCTTAAAATGTTAAGAGAGGCCACCTCCAGTGAAACTGTAAGAAGAGAACTTGAGGAGAAAACAGTAGACCAGGGTGGGCAGCCTTTTCATGGCTGAGATACAAGCTTCATGTTTTGGAAAGGTGGAAGCTGTAGCAAGTGTACCAATGATGTAAATCAGACAAGATGCTAATCTTTGGTACTCGTGTCTCCAGATTTCAGCAACACATTTGCACATTTGGAGGAAGCTCTTCAAGAAAAAAAAAACAATTTGCAACTCTATATAGCCCTGGACCAACAGCTTACCCACCTTGGATATAGATAGTGAATAGGTAGGCAATATATATATATATATAGGAGGCTTCACAGCTCTGGTCTTCTGATCAAATACTCTGTGTGTGCTTCTGTCCTTAGGTCGTTTCATTTTTTTTTTATATTTTATTTTTTAGGAAAGGGTGGGAAACTTTTTGGCAGACTTCTACCTGGTTAATGGGCTTGTTTTAGAATCAAGAAAAAGACGGGAACATCTCAGTGAGGAGGATATCCTTCGGAATAAGGCTATCATGGAAAGCTTGAGCAAAGGTGGAAATTTGATGGAACAAAACTTTGAGGTAAAGTTGAAGATTTTCTTAAATGGAATGCTTCGTTTACAGCTTTTTAAAGTCAGATTTGAAATATTATCCTGAATATTTGGTGGAGGACACAAAATTCATTACAGCAGTCTTAAGTTCTGGGAAGAATCTCCTTTCATTTGTATATAGGTAGTTCTTGTTTAGCAAGCATAATGGGGACCAACAATTTTGTCCCTAAGCAAAGGAATTGTTAAATGAAACCTCTGTGGTGCTTAGGATCTTACTTCAGCTTTCCTTTGTTTTATGCCCATAAAGGTTATAAATGTGCCAGTTGGACAAAAAGTTACTTTTTCATCACTGCAGAAAGTCACTAAACTAGGCAGTCACTAAATGAGGTCTACCTAGATGAGTTTCCATTCTGATATTTTCTTGTGCTATCATGTTTCTGAAACTTCTTGAGTTTCAGGGATGATATCTGAGAGACTTTGAGAAGCAGATGTCTTGAGACTACCTGGGGGGGGAGGGGGGGCTAGACCTAAACTGTGACTGTTTGGATTTGATGCCAGTTTAGCAACTGATCATTTTGTCATTCTCCATATTTGTCACTGAAATTGAGAAACTTTTCTTTTGTGTTTTTGTAAAAGAGGGTTTATTGGATATCATTGACATAGAACTGTGACATCCCCTTAGTTGTATAGATTTAATTTGTTTTGTCCAAAATAGTCTGATATATCTCAGGTGTGTTACTTTTTCCACGCCTCTAAGTTACTGAAATATCAGCACAATATTATTAGCATCTTTAATGTTTCACTGTAACTTGTTAACAGTTTGTCATTTTCCACCATGTTAATTCTATACAAGTACCTGTTTTTATAAATGATAGTCTTCAAGGTCAGTTAAAAAAATTAAAAACTTGCTTTTCACAGAACAGCTGAATAGTAGGCTTAATGCTGGTAACATAAAATAATAAATGATATTTCTAAAACCTGAGCAACAAACTATAATAAACCAATATAGCGAGTTGTCCAGTTGTTAGTTATATTCTGTTGGGAAAAGAATACCAAATCCCATTGAGGAATATTATTTCTTCTGCTAGCATCAGAAATGATTAGTGCAAGTTTGTAATGGCTTATCTGCTCCTTAAGTTTCCTCCAGTGATGTGGGGTAGAAAATCTCTTATGAAATAAAAATAGTTGCAAGGTAAAAAATAATATCACTCCTATATTTTTTTTCTGAGGAAAAGATGTTTTTTTTTTCTTTTAGAAGTATATTATTGACATTATACTATAATGAATGAATACAAGAAATGTCTTTGAATAAAATTAACGCTGAGAGTCTAAAGTATGGTCAAGCAATCCTCTTTAAGCATGACTTTCTCCTCATTTTGGCCTTTAGACAGTTATTTCATGCAGCATTGACAAACTAGTCTTATATCTAAATTTCTGCTTTAAGAGGTGTGTCACATTGGTCCGCCAGAAATTATTTGTTGAGCTGGTGGTTTAGACTGGACCAGTATTTCAGACTGACGAGTTGTCCTCTGTGGTTAGAAAGGTGATATCTCTGTACTTTACAAAAGTGGTAGCTATTGAATAAATTCCTGTGTCTTTTCTTTAAAAAGCCTGTCAGGAGACAATCTCTTACCCCACCACCCCCTAATACAATTTCATGGGAGGAATACATATCTGCAGAAAATGGGAAGTGAGTATTATCTGTTATATGTGTATGGCTATTTATTTATTTAGCGTATAGCATATCATACACGGAGTAGCAATATATATTAGCACTTCATCTAGATTAGACAAATACATTAAAATATAACTGTTAAAAAGATCTTATGTTCGAATACCAGTGTCTAGGCCATCTAAGAATTGAAGCGCAACTTCATGTATATTTTTAAAAAATCAGATACTGGACCGGTATATGCCCTCAGCTTAGAGCTGATCACAATGTGATCTTTGACATGGGACCCTGCAGTCACACTGAGGGGACGATACTATACCCCCATTTATACAGAGAGTCCCAGCAGACACTGAGGTGCAAATCCTATACAGGATGCCCATTGCTGGCGTGGTAATTCAAAGCCTTCACCATTTTTGTGAAGTCATTTCTATGTCTTCCTGTGTCTGGGCGTTCAGCGACCCATTTGGCTTTCCATTGGGAATCGATGTTAAAGTTGTTGGGCAGATGTTGTGCAAGTGCCAATGGAGCCTCCCTGGATTTGAGTTTTTCAGCTGACCTTCCAAATTGGAAGGTCGGTATGCACTAGTAGAGGAGGGACTTGTTCATAATTTTTCTGTATTAGCTCACTAGTGCATCTTGCCTGCTTCGTAAAGCTGGCAGTGCTTTACATTACTAAAAGCCAAAAATACATATTGTTCTAGACCAAGGGTAGGCAACCTTGGCTCTTTTATGACTTGTGGACTTCAACTCCAAGAATTTCTGAACCAGCCATACTGGGAGTTGAAGTCCCCGAGTCATAAAAGAGCCAAGGTTGCCTACCCCTGTTCTAGACTTTGCGTCATGAGATTTAAAAAAGATAATTGGTTGTTTCTAGCTAATATTTTGTTTAGATAACTATAATTATTTATATCTATTGGTTTTTCTTAAAAGAGCAACCGAAAGTTGCTGCTCTCTCAATATACCTGACGAAATTGGAAGTCTAACAGATTTAAGCTGCCTTACATATGGCACTTTGCACAAGGCAAATTTAGGATTTAGAATATGATTTCTAGGAAAAAGGTTATGAGACCATTTAAAAAACAACAAATGAAAGTATTTGAACAGAAACTAGCAACAAGCCTTAATGTGTAGTGTAAAGTGAAAAATAAATAAATACTGAAGTTGCTAGTGCCATTTGGGGGACACAAAAAGAAGGGAAATAAATAGAAAATGTGTCACTAGAAAGCTTTTTATTTATATTTAGTTATTCTATTCTGCCCTTTTTTTCTTTTATATTTCATTGTTTTAATAATCAAAATATTTAAAAGCAATAAAAAGGAACAAAAGAATGGCTAAAGGAGCATGATTCAAATGTATAAACAATGAATGTACAAATATAGTTATAATTTTTCCATATATCAGCAATTGATGGTAATACTGAATGCATTATATTCTAAAAGCTTAAAAATAATTATTAAGCTGTAAGTGGAACATAAATATCAGGAGTATAGTCAGCACAATCTGAGTCATAAAATAAATCTGGGTTACAGTAAATTCTACCCATGATACTGTAAGTCTATTCTCATTTTTAAAATCCTACACATTGGAATTTAGATTTCATACCGAGAAAAATCCACATTTTTAGATGGGGCTCAAATCCACATCTTGGACTATAATCAAGAAGTGGTTTCCACTTTGAGTTAAATTTTTAAGGTAACAAGATACTTTAATCTTTTTTTTAAAAAGAAATTAATTGCACCCTTTATTTCCTTACTGAAAATAAGGAGTTCCGAAAGCATTTAGGTTTAATTATGTCCGTGTGTGCATGAGAAGAAGAACAATGAAAAGAGAGGTATATATTCTCTTCCTGCCTCAAAAGAGCCTTCCAAGCCTCATTGAATAATTTCCATCCCCTTGTTTCCTACTCAATAATAATCTGTTTCAGGGTGTTCTGTTTGTGCATTTTCTGTATGTGGGGAGATTTTCATTTTGATTGTCTTTTAATTAGAGCACCTCATTTGGGTAGAGAACTTGTCTGCAAAGAAAGTAAGAAAACTTTTAAAGCTACGATAGCCATGAGCCAAGAATTTCCTCTAGGAATTGAATCGTAAGTCTGAATTGCTCTTAGAAAAGATTGTGAAAGAATGTGATACATTGAAGTTATATTCCTGATTATATTGTTCCTAATTCCAGGGATTCTAGCATATAGAATAAGAAAAGGTTTTATGCCACCAACGAGGTTGCACTCTGTTCTGTTGTACAATATATGGGTTCCACATAGTTTCAGCTTGGGTTTATCCCTTGATGAGTCATAAGCATTCTCTTTCAAATTAATCAATTTCTATAAGCCACGTAGCACTTAGGAAATGTCTGGTATTGTTTATTGGTTTCCAGAATGTTTAAACCTGTGCAAAGTGATGTCACTTTGTAGAGTTTTCTTGACTCTTTAATTTTTGAAGCAAAGAGTTCATCCCGCTGGCAAAACCCAGGCATTTTGACTTAGTTTCTTCTGCTGAAGGGTTGTCAGCCCCTTTGCTTTGCCTGCCATTCATTTAGATGGAAATGCCTTATGTTCACTCACGTGCAGAAGAGTACTAAAGGTAGGAAGCCCATCCTACCATGAATCTCCTAAGGCTTTCCAGTACAGCCAGATCAGATTTTAGCAGCTTTCCTAAATACTAGCAGAGTTGGTGCTGATTTGAAGTTGATTGGAAGACCAGATAGCAACAGAAAAGGTGTACCCTTATGGTCCCTGATAGTAACAATCCTTCAAGTTGGGATTCAAAGGACTCGCCTCCTTATTAGATGAGTAAAAATCCCGGGCAATCTAGCCGATATCCAGGTCTTAAGCCACAAGGCCTTTCAAGATGACTTATCAACTCTTTGAATTGCATTTGGAAGCCAACTAGCAACCAGTAGGGCTCTTAAAGTAGTGATGTGACAAGGACAAATCAAGAGACGTCCTAATTTCTTGGGCTGCTGATTCTGAACCAACTGTAATGTACAGTTGGTCTTCACGGACATCCACAGGTAGAATGAGTTGTAGTAGGCCATTCATGAGGTTATCAAGGTCTAAATGACCGTGAGCAGGGCCTGGAATGGTTGTAACTGGCACATGAGATAGAGTTGAGCAAGAGCTCAATAATAATTATAAACCAGTTGAAAGGAGGTAGCGCCTCTGTAGTCCCATGATCTGCAAGATCCAGACGTTTCATCGGAAGAGCTGGAGAAGCCCTGGGAATATATTAGTTTCTGAACCTTTCAACATCTGCGTTGATGCTGTTTTTTTAAAATACTTACTTGTTTAAATAACAACAAGAAATCAAATTCCGTATTCGATACCCAAGTTCTATATCCATATTACAAAAAGTCATATTAATAAGAACAGTACTCATTATGAATATGTAATTTATTTAAATAATTGGTCATTTGTTTTTGAATATATCCTTTTGCTTAATAGGTTTTTTTTTTAAAAAAAAAAATATCGGTTGCTGATTGTAATGTGCCCAATAATGGGCGAGAACAATACCTTCCCTTTTCAACTGCTTAAATCACGTGGTTAATTGTTGAAGCTTGTTAATACATGCTATTGCCATGCGTGTGTTCTCTTTCAGGTTGTTGAATGTTTTAGAAGTAATTGCACCCTTCAAGCACTTTAACAAACTGCGGGAATTTGTGCAGATGAAACTTCCGCCAGGCTTCCCAGTAAAGTTAGGTGAGCTATGGATTTCATCAGAAACCAGGGGTTATTATTTGATTGGTTCTTGGGGCGGGGAGGGGGGGGCAAGACCTGCAATAGTTTCCAATCGGGCACTAATAAAAATATTCCTTTTCGTAGTGTACTAAATGGAAAATACATAATAGTCCAAAGTAAAAGTTTTGCTTGAACAGGAAGGGCCAGCCTAGTCAAAACATAGAGTGCGTGGTTGCATTTCACTGATCTTTTACGAGGAAGAAAGCAATTGGCAGGATTATTGGCATTGTACTATGGTTTAATCCAGTGTTTCTCAACCTTGACAATTTTAAGGCATGTGGACTTCAACTCCCAGAATTCCACAGCCAGCAATGCTGGCTGTGGAATTCTGGGAGTTGAAGTCCACATGCCTTAAAATTGTCAAGGTTGAGAACTTTAATCCTTTCCTTCTGCCCTCCCTCCCTGAAGCTGGCATGGATGCTTCGCTGAGACAATAAAGCAGTATTTCTCAACCTTGGTAACTTTCAGATGCGTGGACTTCAACTGGCTGGGGAATTCTGGGAATTGAAGTCCACGCATCTGAAAGTTGCCAAGGTTGAGAAATACTGCAATAAAGAGATATATACAACTAATGCAACCTTCTGCTTGGACGTCTATTTAAACTCCAAGTTAAAATATGTTTTACTCTTCTGTCTCATTTGATTAAAACTGTTGGTGATGAATAGTATAAAACACAATGGCGTGGAAGGAACATTGCCACCTGTACTTTAAGTTAAGCTTGAATATTAAAGGATCACTGACATGGTCTAACCCAGGGGTAGGCAACCTTGGCTCTTTTATGACTCGTGGACTTTAACTTCCAGAATTCCTGCTGGCTCAGGAATTCTGGGAGTTGAAGTCCACGAGTCATAAAAGAGCCAAGGTTGCCTACCCCTGGTCTAACCAGACACCAGTTCTCATCAAAATGTGACTTTTGCAACAATTTGTATTTGCAATCTGCTTCCACGTTATAGCAGTTTTATCCCATCCTAGGCTATACTCCATGCCCATGTTTATCAAATGGGAATATAACTCCTTCCAGGGCAACTCCCCCCCCCCTCCATAATATTAGTTTTGCCTGGCTAAGAATTTCTGTGATTAATTGCAGAATTATTGTCAGATACATTGTACCTTCTTCTATTATTTCCTTGGATTAATGGATAGAAATGAGAGGTACAGATGCTTATTGTCTGCATATTAGTGGTCTTGCCATAACCAGATCTGTAGGTGATCTCTGCCAGCAGCTTTCTTGGGTACCAATGAAGGAGAATATTTGTAGTTCAGGATTGAAATGAGGGGTCCTTGTTGCTCTCTGAACTTGCTTGTTTTCTTGCAAACATTTCATTACCCTAACTAGGTAATATCATCAGTGCTGATAAGGAGTGCTGTTTGCTGTCACTTTATATTCTGGTGCCTTGCCTGTCTGGGTGGGTGGGGGCTGTCTTAGGGATTATTTGGTTGGGCAGTTTACTAATGGCTCTTTGGCAGTTTCATGATTGGGGTATTGCTTACTTGATTGTTGGTCTGAAGTTAACCTTGGAGTTAATCTATGCTGATCTGAATGCTGATTACTGATGGAGAGGTGCTGGGAATCTTTTTCTCTTGGGCTGGTTGATTGTCTCTTTTGCATAGTCTATAGATGTTGTTAATGTCTATGTGTCTATTGATGGCTGATTTGTCAAGAGTGCCAGGCTTCTAGAAATTCTCTGGTATTTTTGGATTTGGCCTGGTCTAGGATTGTCACATTTTCCCCAATTGAAACGGTGGTTAAATCTGTCTGTATGTTGTGAAATTAAAAAAAAAAAAATCATCATGCCTTTTGACTGCCAGTTGTTGTTCATGGATGCGTTCTGCCAGTCTTCTGCCTATTTCTCCTACATAGTGGTTGTTGCAGTTCTTACACTGTATGTTGTAGATGACTTCTGTTTTTTTCTTCTGGGGTTGCTGGGCCTTTTGGTCTGCTTAGGATATTTTAAAGGGCTTTAGTTGGCTTGTGTGCTATGCTGATTCCATGGAGTTGCAGTAGTCTATTTGCGGTTTCTGAAATATTCTTGATGTATGGCAGTGTAAATCTTTTTAGGGTTTCTGTTGGTTGTGCTGTATTGGGTTGAGACCGCCCCCACCCACCCAGACAGGCAAGACACCAGAATATAAACTGACAGCAAACAGCACTGATGATGTTTCCTAGTTAGGGTAATGAAACTTTTGCAAGAAAACAAGCAAGCTCAGAGAGCACCAAGGACCCCTCAGTTTTCTTAGGGTTGACAAACAATGAATATAGGGTGGTCCATTAAGGCATCTCACTGGCCATCAGTCACAACATTCCTCTAAACCAGGGGTAGGCACCCTTGGCTCTTTTATGACTCATGGACTTCAACTCCCAGAATTCCTGAACCAGCTAAGTTGGCTCAGGAATTCTGGGAGTTGAAGTCCACGAGTCATAAAAGAGCCAAGGTTGCCTAAACCATCCTTTATATTCTTTTACCAAAAAGTACTTGGAATTGCAGCAAAGCTCCCTGTGAGGCGACTATCATGGAAATGATCAGAAGGAATCTTGTTAAAGGGAGGAGAACCTCATCCCTGACCTATTAACGGTTCTGTTCCTTTCTTCCCAGATATTCCTGTGTTTCCAACAATCACAGCCACTGTGACTTTTCAGGAGTTTCGCTATGATGAATTCGATGAATCAATTTTCACAATTCCCGATGACTACAAAGAGGACCCCAGCCGCTTTCCTGATCTCTAAACTTAACTGGACAGTTAGCAGCGAATAAAAGAATACCAGCATGCCTCAGACAACAAGAAAACCGAAGGACGTGGATAGCTTAAGACCGATGTCTGAAAGTTGGGAAAATTGAAAAGATAAAACTTATTTAAATGAATTCAGAAAGGGAACACAGAGTGAATTTTATCTATTGTAATATATAGCAAGCATCCATCTGGTGTCTCAAGGACAGCAGGTCTCCTGATGTATCACATTCATTTTTACATCTCGACTTGCAAGCATGGTAATGTGGCACCTCACACACACACACACACACAAACCTCTGCCCCCTCCCCCCATGGTACATCCATAAATCCCATGAAGACTATAATTTGTTTATAGATTTTTTTCCTTGATAATAAAAAGCACTCTTGGACCATTTGCATAAACACTAAAATGTCTTACCCAGGGTATTAGCCCTTTTAAATGCTCATCGGAGTCAAGATAACCTTCCTTCAAGGTTTGTTTTCATATATTATAGATCCTGTTACATTCAGCAAATTGAACATCGTCTGAGCATTTAGAAGAAGGAATTACTTTTCTGTAGATAAATAAGCCAAAAGCTAACCTTTTATAAACAGTTGCTTTTAGTTATTGCAATACATTTCAGTACTAGAACATTCACTCTGCAGGGAATAAGGTACCTCCTTTAGCACCTTAGTGCAACTCATTGTGGTGCTATCTGTATTTTCCCCAAATTGTTGATTTTCTCCATTGAAGATTTGTCTCCTAACCTTTTCATGAAGATCTTTTCAAGATGGCTGGAAATGTTCTTGCAGTATTTATTGGAGATTCTTCCTTGACATTTATTTGGGCTATTCAAATGTACATAAGCGACTCAACAAGCATACCAAATTTGCATTTATGCTCTGCAGCATTTGAGAAGAATGAATAATAGCAGTTAGATTATAGCAGTCTCAAAGGTGAAGCTTTGCTTTCTCCCAAGGAAAAAAATCTAGTCGAATGAAGTAAACTAAGAAAGTAAGCTGCAGTAATTTAAGAAAAATGTACAAAAATGCCATGGGGTGTTTCCAATCTGGATAGCTTCAATAAGAGTAACTTTTGGCTTTTTTCTTCAAATCGACTTCTAAAAATTAGGATTATTATATGGTTCCAGCCACCGAACAGGAATATAACCTAGTGTTTTTGCTCTACTGTCTCAGACTGTTGATAGCTACATTCATTTGTATTGCGAGATTTGGCTTCCAGTAATGTGTATGTGTACAGAAATGTAAATACTTTCAGAAGGATATTCTTTGTGCGGTCTAGTCTTTTTTTTTTTCTTTTTTTGGTCTGGAAAGTTCTTAAGCCACTTTCAGACATGCAGAAAACCACATGTCAGGTAACACCCAGCGCTGGCAATATCTTAAAATGTGAAATGAGGCTTTCTGAGGTATAGTCCTCAGTAAAACAGACTCATAAGCCACAGCAACCCTGTCAAGAAAAAAGGTACAGAACTAATTAAAGTTGTAGCTTTGCACCAGGGCCACATGGAGTGAAGCAACTCAAGAAAACTGCAGCTTCATATTATAAACCAGGGAATAAATATTGAGACTAATTGCAGAAGTACTGCAAACTTGTAAGAAGTTTAAACCAACCAAGATAGACAATTGTGAGCGTTAAGACAGTTGGTTAGGACTTTATATTGGTTGCTGGTTTTGAAATACATGTTATTTCCAGTACTTGTTCCGAGAGATTCAATCTGCTGCCTATAAAATGTAATTAAAAATACCCTGTTATTTCCTCTTTCAGTTGATTAAAGAGGAGACATCATTAAATCTAAAAGTGCTTGATAATATAGGTTGCATCCAGTTAGTGCCACCTGCCCACAGAATAACTTTTGGCAGAGAAATGTGATTTTCTCATAGTCTGCAATTTCTGTGCCCTCCAGCTTTGCTCTGGAAGTTGGAAATTCCCTACAATTTATTCAGAGGATGAGGAGAATGAAGTCCTGCTGCTTGAGTGGAAGTCTCCCCTTTTGTCATTGGACTGTGTCCTTTGTGTTATCTGTCTTGTGGGCGTCTCCTAAAAAGTATATGCTGAATAGAAATGTACAGTACTAGTTTTTTTTTTCCCACGGGAATGACGGACAGTATGAATTTGATTGGATGGCTGTATCTCCCTCCAAATGGTAGGAACTTGATAATGGTCATCTGTATCTGAAATTATCAGGTTAATAATGCCAAAGTTACCTTTCATTGAGTTGTATATAAAAATTGCTTAAGTATGTCAGCCCAGCACATAGAATACATAAATCTTTCCAGATTGGTTAAAAACTGGATCGGGTCCAAATTTAATCCTGTGGGAAATACAAAGATACCTGTTGAAATCAATGAACAAAGACTGATTTCATTAGGTTTAACCATAATCTGGGATCCAATTTAGTGAAGTTTTTTGTCCAGTCTAATAAGTTATAGTCTAGTAAGATCTGAATGGGGAAAAGAGCTTTACTTTGGTAGTTGCTGGTCAACCTCTGAGGACAGAAGAATGACCTCAAATTTTAGCTTGTTTGCACTGAAGAAAAGAGATAACAGCCTCTTAGTGGCTTCAACCGATTTTTCAAATTGGGGTTTATATTGTATCACAGCCCTTTTTAAAGATGTATAGATATAATGACAGTTTATTTAGTTCCAGTAATAAATTTTCAGGAAAAAAAAATCAGTGTCCATTGCAATTGATCTGATTGCATTCAAGTGCTTATGCATGCAGCTCTCTTGTTTTCATGGAGCTTCCAGTTCAAAATTTTGGGGAATTTGATTTACACATGCATTAGTAAGGCACATATACATTGACTTTAAATGAAATGGGGAAAAAAACGTTCCTGTAAAGAGAGCAGTTTGCCTGCAATGGTGTTTCTAAATCTAGAGAAAAGACTGCATTCAGAATCTTAGTATTAAGATTTTAGATTAATAATAAACATTAATGAACAAGCATAGATTAGCGTTTGACAATTAAGCCCTTTAGAGGATCTATTTTGATTTTTGTTTGTACCATCTAATACAGTACTTTGGAGAATTATTTTGTACCAAATATTTTGCGTTGGTTGCATCCACCACTCAGAATGACAATTTTTTGAGGTCAAGACTATTCCTGAATCATTTTGAAAAATTTGGGGTTTAGTTATAATTGTATTAAGGAGAAAAAGTTCACATAAAATATGCAAAATTTATTATAAATGTAGCACAATTAGTCAAGTTAAAGGATGATCCATTTGCATATGTTTAGGCCTGAAAAGGAATGTTAATTGGGAAACACATTAGTATTCTGAGTAGGAATGTGCAAAATTTGTTGATCTGGGAATGGACCATTCCAGAGAAGTCCAGAATGTTTTGTTCCAGAAAAAGCACTTAGGCAATTCCCATGAATAAGTTCTCCAAACTAAACTGCAGCTTAAATATCAGATCACCCTCCCAAAACACCTCAAACTACTTTTGGTTTGAACAATTTATTTTGGAAAACTGCCTATCATATTCTGAAACAAAACATTGAAGTTTTCCAGAGTAATCACTTCCCGCACATCTCTTGTTACGAATAATTTGGAAACGTGCAGTCGTGTGTTAAATCTTCGTTTGAGAAACATCTGAAATTTCCTTGAGGTTCTCTTAAAAACTAGCAAAGTGTTCTGTCAGTTTTTAGCTGAGGATCTTTGAAAAGAACTCAAATGCTTCCTTAATCAAGCTCAGTCTTACTGGTCTTCCAAATAATTGCTTTAATTTATAACAAAAAAAAAAATAAGACTTTTTCCAAGCAGTTGGTTTTTCAGTCATTGCAATTCATGTATACCTAGCAAATAGTGCACCTGTGGATATAATCCAATGCTGGATAGCCCATCTTAAGCTGAAGCATAATATATTGAAAGTTACATACTTTTGACTTTATTAAAGATAATTATATTTAAATATTAACAAACTTTCTATAATGCTGCAGTTTTTCCTTGACAGTTTGTAATTGTGGTAACAATGGCATTTTTTTTGTTGTTACATTTCATGTTCTTTGTCTAATCTAAACTCACCTTCACTAAAAGGAGTTTTGGTTCTACCACTTAGAATAAAGACCAAATGATGCTGTTTGCTTTTGAAACTGAATATATGACAACTATATTATAACTTAACATGGATACTTCCTCCTTATTAGAGGCGGACTAAGATGTACAAAAAGGCTGTTAACAGTGTACCACTTTCACAAGGACATTTTACTGGTCAGTTTTTCAATAAAATCCTCAATTTTCAGTGCATTGTTGTTGACTGCAATCTTTTTAACTTTTAAGATTAGACCACATAAAGATGAGTGAGTATACTGCTTACTTAAATGCCACGCTCATAGTGGAAGATGATGGCATTTATAAGCCACATCTTGCTTCAACTGTATAATGGATGCTATAATCTATTCTCATCTATTTAACATAACATTTGTTTTCAATTATAGTAAATGGAGATATCATTGTCCTGGAGCATACTCTAGTACAGGGGTAAGCAAACTTGGCTCTTTTATGACTCGTGGACTTAAACTCCCAGAATTCCTGAGCCAGCATGGCTGGCTCAGGAATTCTGGAAGTTGAAGTCCACGAGTCATAAAAGAGCCAAGGTTGCCTACCCCTGTTCTAGTACTACATTATTTATATCCCACCTTTATTATTTTTATAAACCACGCAAGGTGGTGAACATACCTAATACTCCCTCCTTCTATTGTCCCCACAATAACAACCTGTGAGGTGAGTTGGGCTGAGAGAGAATGACTGGCCCAAGATCACCCAACTGTCTTTCGCGACTAAGGAGGATTAGAACTCATGGTCTCCTGGTTACTAGCCTGATGCCTTAACCACCAGACCAGATTGGCTCAATATAATGAGCACTTATAAGGCACAAGGTCATAAATGTGAGGTGAGTGGTTATATAAATGGAATAAAAATATAGGAAGTTCCACAAATCAGAATCATTGCATCAATCCGTCATCTATAATAGATAACATCATCAACTATCAATATCTTGGTGCTCTTTGCCGGAAAGATGTCACTACATTCTTCAGTAGCAACAGGGGAAGGATCCAAGAGTGACTTTTTTATAATAATAAAGAATAATATAAATTTTTATGCTGCCTGACTCCCAGCAACTTTTTGTGAAGTGTTGGATGCAAAGTCCAACAAATCTCCCTTCAGATCAGTAGTTATTGTGATTAAGTCACCATTAGCTGTCCTCAACTTGAGTGCAATTAGTTAGCAAAAAAGAAATTCTTATTTCTTAATTCTTATTATTGAATTCCAATGGAGTTGTTTTCTTCTCCAATCCAATTCAAGAAATTGTATAGTCTGTTGCTTTCTCTTCAGATAAAAAGCTACCCTGACTGAGCATGGTGTCTCAGGAATTCTGGGTGTTGAAGTCCACAGGTCTTAAAGTTGTCATAGTTGCCCACCCCTGATCTAGTCCAACTCTCAGCTATCATGCAGGAATTTACTATTATAAAATATTTAACAGTGACCATCCAGCCTTTGTCTAAATCAGTGGTTCTCAACCTGTGGGTCGGGACCCCATTTGGGGTCGATTGACCATTTCACGGGGGTCGCCAAGCAAGGCCGTCCGCCATTTTTTCCCCCTTTTCCGGCGGGTGCCTTACCTCCCTTGGGCTGGGCCAGCTGGTGGTCGGCCTGCTCCGTCTCTGCCGCTTGCCAGCTACGCCTCGGCCGGCGCAGGGGGCGGAACCACGCATGCGCGGCGCTCCCAGGCAAAGTCCTCGACTTACGACCGGTCGGGTAGTCCTCGACTTACGACCGGTCGGGTAGTCCTCGACTTACGACCGGTTTAGTCCTCGACTTACGACCGGTTGGGGTCGTGGCATTAAAAAGGTTGAGAACCACTGGTCTAAATAACTTCCCGCAAAAAGCTTGCACCTTTTAGCAATTCCTTGTAAGCCTTCTGGACATCTTATAATTTTGGTTGTTTGCCACTGAACACACAGTGTCCTTCCTGACGCCCGGACTGGTTGTAATATTACAAATGCTGCCTGAGCAACCCCACAAAGAAGAGGGAGTCAACTTATTCTCCAAAGTACCTGAAGGCAGAACCAGAAGCAATGGATGGAAACTAATCAAGGAGAGAACCATCCTAGAAATAAGGAGAAATTTCCTAACAATTAAAACAAATAATCAGTGAAATGGCTTGCCTCCAGGAGTTGTGGGTGCTCCTACCCTGGAGATTTTTAAGAAATGATTGGACAGCCATTTGTTTAAAATGGTATATAGGGTCTCCTGCTTGAGTAGGGGGTTGGACTAGAAGACCTCCAGGGCCCCTTCCAACTGTTATTCTGTTATACCAAATAGAGAAGAACCACATCACTGCACTACTTTGACATCATACATCTGTAGCTAAAGCCTAGAATTTCTTTTTTGTAACTGCATCGGATTATTTGTTAATATTCAACTTATGATTCTTCAACATCCAGATCCTTTCTATTTAGATATTTTTCCTTGTTAAATGTGAAATGTATTATTTTTCTGCTGCAATTCATTTTGCTGGTTTTTTTCAACATTTAAGGTTGTCCACATTCTCCTGAGTCTTGTGCCTCCCTTTTTTTACTTGCTACACCTTGCAAATCTGATCATCACTTTGAATTATATATAAAAATGGTGGGATTGTTATCAAGTCATTCATATGTTGAACAGCACAGGATCTATTAATGTTAATGTTTTTCAATATGATTTTTTTTATTCAGGTCCTTATTTATTTAATAATAGTGTAGCCAATCTACTTTTTATGTTCCCTGGTAGAATTTGATTGGAATTAATTCTTTGGTGAATTTATTACTGATGTTAAGGTATGCTAGATCCTTGACAGTACTGTGATCAACTGTACTACTCACTTTTATAAAAAAAAGATTGCTTGGCATTGTGTAGCTTTGTTAGATTTATGTTGACTTCTGAGAAACAATGTGTTCTTTTTTGAATCCTCAAACTGAACTCTTAATATAGCAGTCCTCAGTTTACAACTGCAATTGGGATCGGAATTGCTTCACTAGGCAAACTAGTCAGAGACATCACATGATCATGCTGCTTAACAACACTAATTCCAGCAGTCCCAGTTGCCACTGTCAAGCGAATCGCTGCAGATTGTTAAAAGAGGACATTCTGTAGTTGCCATTTATGACCTTTTGCTCACTTCCCCATTTACTTTGCTGGTAGGACCAGTCATAACTGCTACTTGTTCAGCACTGTCAGAAGGACCACCTGTAACCTGTTCCACATCCAATTATCAACTTTTTCTGTCTTTGGAGATTATTAGGCTACTAGAAACGTTTAAGGAATGTTTGGAACAATATAAGATTCCTAGTGTCTGGCAAAAGATTAAAGTGGTAGCAATTTTAAAACCAGGCAGAGGCCAATAATCCTAAGAATATGCCATCTAGATCCTGCACATGCTCACCCGCCGCTCACCTCTAGCTGTGTAGCCCAGTTCCTAACAGACCATGGACAGGTATCAATCCATGACCCGGGGACCCCTGCTCTCGAGTATTGATTTTCAGTTTTAAAAATGTTAAATTAAAGCCAAGCTTATTTATAAAACTGATTTTTTGATTTTCACAAAGCTGCTGTTCCATTTCTGAGTCTGGCCAACAAACCTGAAATTATCTAGTAACCAAATTAATTCATTTCTCCTGGGATTATACACTTTAAATTTCATCATCTGTGCCACTGTACATGGTAAAAGCTTTTTGGGAATCAGAAGTTGAATTCCATCTGTTCAGCCCTCATTTATTATACTTCTTTGGTACAATAATTTGAAAATTTAGTCAAAAGAAACTGCAAAGATTGAATGTTCTACAAATGCACTTTTATAGATACAATTAATGGTATTATATTCATTATATTATATTCATTTTCCTCTCCTGTAAAGATATCTTATTTGTTTTTCAGAGAAGAAAAGGCCGGGTAACATTTAAGGTATATTTTGATATATTTAGAAAATACTTACTAAAATTATAAATTCTATTTTCACTTTGAAACACCAATAGAAAATAGTATTTCATTTTATTATTTCAGTTACTTTAAAAAAAATATCAGTAGACAACATGGCTACTAATTCTAACTTGTAATGGGGTTTTTCTTTTTGGTTACTGGAATTGGAGGATTTTAATAGATTAGTATTCTGAACCCAAAGTATTCTGATATAATTTTATTCTCACAAACTTTGAAAAACAAGTATCAAGCAGTATGTTTGTCCAATGATACTAAATATTAAAAATACATGGACTATTTTCTTTTTTAGAAGGGCAGCCCCCCTTTTTTGGGAGGAATCGTTGCTATCAAATTTTCAACATATGGGGAAAAAAACTTCCCTGGACACAAATTATCAACATGCTAGATATTTTTTTTGGAACCAGACAAGACTTAAACAATGATACTAAATGAAAATATAAATGGAAAAAAGTGAGGTAGTTTTATACAAATCATTAACACCGATACACGCACACTTTAGTACAAATCAAGTGTATATTTATGATTTTTTTATTATCAAAGTCTTGTAAAACAATTTCAGAAACTGTACATAAACATGGCACAGACTGTAGCCTACTTTTGTTTTTTTACCTGCACAAAAGTATATGCCCCCAAAACTTCCAGAACTAAAAGAATAGATTGCCCATATACTTTGCATAACATAAAATTACTATGTCAAAGGTTACTACTTCAGTGACTGCAACACAAATGAGTTAGTTTATACAACTTGAGATCAAATACATTATCAAGTAGACTTGTTTTAAAATCATTATGAAGTTCCATTTAAAATGCACTACCCTTTTTTTCGTTGCAGAGTTTTAATACTCAAAATGAAATGCAGCTTCTAAAAAACTACACAAGGTTATCTCTCGCTGTCTCTTCTGCGGAATACAGAAATGTTATTTTTTTTACCTCAAAAAGTCCAAATTGTGAAAAATCAAACACCCACCTGAGAAGGATTGAGACTCAGCCTACCTTACACTGGGCATAAAAAGACTAATGCATTTCAACCGTGTCAAAGCCAAACAAATCCACAACAAAAAAGATTCAGCCATAGGGCTAGAAATATTATCTACCTCTATCAGATTTCTTTCCAGATGAAGCTAATGTTAGTTTCTCTCTCTACACTGAAGGCCCTCAGTGGGCCGCCATGTTGTAGGAGACAAGGATGTTCCTGCCAGTTAACATGCAGCCAGTTCATTCCCTATTTTTGCTCTATTATTGTAAATAATCAAACTCTAGAAACACTATTGTAGGTGAGCTGGTTTACTAAAAAGATCATACAACACAAACAGTCCATGCCTGTCAAAGATGCATGCAGCTTTTTGCTCAAAAAGGAAAAAAGCAGCACCAAGCTAGTTAAGGACTGCTGGGCTACTCAATTCAATTTAGCCAATAACAAGAATGAAAACCCAGATACCACTTTCTCTAAAACTTTTGATGTAATTATTTAATATTAGGAGCTTTACAACCATTTATAGTTACAGCTGTATACATCTAGTTTGGAAGATTAAACAAGTACAGCATAAAGAAATCACACAGGAATGACACTGATGCATGTGGCCAATTGTTTTTCTGGCAAAGGCATATTCAGTCACTCATATCCATATCCTCTTCATGATGATCATCTCCATTGACCTTGGACTCCCTTGGTTCACCGCCCCCTTTCTCCGGGGACTCCTTAAACTTTGGAGAAGTGGCATCGGAGGCCTTTTCGTCTTTTTTCTCTTTTTCACTATCGTAGCCTTGTTCTTCTTCATCATAATCCCTTGTGACCTGCTTTGCCAAGACAAAAACACAAAACAAACCATGTAAGACAGGTTTCAACTGAAGCTGGGAATCTCTGGAATTCAAATTCACCAGGAGAAATATATTTAAGCATACTTTGACATCTTTGTCACTTTCTGATTTCCTCTCTCGCTCTTTCTCTTTGTCTTTGCTTTTTTTCTTTTTACTGGTTGATCTTTCCCGTTCATCCCTGCTTCTCTCTTTATCTTTGTCTTTTTTCTTCTCTTTCTTATGCCTGGAAGGAAAACCACGAACACCTTAAGGATGAGAACACAAGCACTTTGTGGGATTACCAAAATGTTTTAACTAAAATGTTCTATGGGGCACGCTGAACACCGGTCTCTGCAAACGGAAACTGTTTAACGATCTGAGAAATGCAGAAAAGGTAATCGCTGTTACCATTTATAAATAATTAAATTATATCTTTACTGATGTTCTGTCAATTTACTGAACAACTTCAAAAATTACTTCGCATTCCCCAAAGTGAAGTAAGATTCTAATGCCAGTAATTATTACTAGAATGAATGGTTACTCAATCAGTTAATTTAACCACACTGACAAATACTGTCCGAACCAGATCTAAGGCATTTCCTACAAGAATAGGAGGAACTGAGAAAGAAAAAAATGATTAAGTCAGTAGATTTGTTAAAAGACAAACCTTTTTGGTGAAGGGGATCTAGACACCTTTCTCTTAGGTGATCTAGGCTTTTTAGGTGATCTGGAGCCACTTCTGCTTCTTCTGCGGCGCCGTTCTCTGTAACAAGAGTGTCTCCCAATCAAACTTTTCCTTGCATTTATTAACATCCCCAATGTCTATTTAATCTCGAAAGTTACATTTAAACAAGGGAAAAAAACTTATTTTAATGGCTTCAGCATTTCTTTGTAGAGGACAAAAGCGTAAACACAACACAGAAAGCTAAATTAAGTCCCTCTTTCTGAGGCTTAGGATTGTTAGCTCCTAGTGACCTCAACCAACATAGTGAAAAATCAGGGAGAATAACTAAAAGCCAAGAGAAAAGATAGAAATTGGTCTCGCTGGTAGCCAAAACCTTGCAAAACGACGTTTCTAATGCGGAATGCAGCCACACTGTCCCCAATTCTCAATCAGTAATTCAATCAGCTGGATAAACTAGCCCAGGGGTAGGCAACCTTGGCTCTTTTATGACTCGTGGACTTCAACTCCCAGAATTCTGGGAGTTGAAGTCCACGAGACATAAAAGAGCCAAGGTTGCCTACCCCTGAACTAGCCTGAGATGTGCAAGTACAGAATGAGATCTCTACTTCTAGGAACCCTGAAAAATTAAAAGGCAGGAGCTTGCATAAGAGGAGTTAACTTTCACATTCTTCATGGCTCACAATGAGAAGTGCAAGATGTCTGTAACACATGGATTTACTTCCAACCAATAAGTAACTTCGGCACGCTGGCTCACTAGCCCTCAAAGATAGAAATGTCGATGGGTTAACCCCGAGAATTCTATCTCAGTGTTTGGATCTAAAGCAGTACAATTTATCAGAATGCTTTTAGTGTAGTTATGAAAGGACCTTTGTTCAAATAGTTAAAAGTTTTCTAGAAGTCAGAATTTGGACAGCATTCGAGAGAAACACAGGATTACACCCAATACCGAACCTGCTTGTGCTTCTGGATCGTCTGGCCGTGCTGTAGCTTTTGGGTGGCGTTTTAGATCGTTTCTTCTCCTTTTCTTCTTTCTTTTTGTCTCTAAAAAAAAAGCACACTTGGATAAGCTGTTTTGTCTTCCAAAAAAGAGGAAGAAATGATCAGCTTGTTTTGTTTTATATATCCTCCCAATATCTATCCATCCATCCATCTATCCTGGTTACAGGGTAGAATTAATACCAATGTTATTTGATCTAGCAGAAGCTTCTGATAGCAGCATCAAGAGAGAAGGAAGGTTTGCCTTACTCTTCCTACCACTGATCTCCTTCTCATGTTTGGAGTAATGTTTAAAACTGGGGAAAAAAAACTTGGGTGAAAGTTGTCACCTTCCCATTCCATAGATCCGTGGTGGCGAACCTATGGCACGGGTGCCACAGATGGCACGCAGAACCCTCTCTGTGGGCACGTGCGCCATTGCCCCAGTCCTAGGCCTTCAGCTGGGTTTTATAAAACCTTTTCGCTTTAGACCTCCGCCGCCATGTGCAAAAAAAAAAAAAAGGTTCAATCAATCAGTCAATTTCAACTTCACGCGGGGAAAAAAAAGATCTCGCAAAGTTGGAATTGATTGCTTGAACTTTTTAGTCCCACCCAGTCTGCCGTTACCACCGAAGCCACACACATGCAATGGGCCACGCCCTCCCAGCACCTGACGATACATAAGTGGGTTTTGGGTTGCAGTTTGGGCACTCGGTCTCTAAAAGGTTCCCCAACACTGCCATAGTTGGAGCTTTTTGCTGCATCAAAGAGTTTTTCATCAGACAAGAATGGAAACTGACTACAAACCATGTTTCTAATATTTTTATAGCTAACAGAATAACTTCAATTCAAAATTATATCAAGCACCTGGTTTTCAAGCACCTGGTTTTGGAAGTGCTCCTAGATCTCTTAATACGTTCTCTGGAGTGAGATCGCCGCCGTCGAGGACTTTTAGATCGTCTTCTGCTCCTTGACTTTGAATGTGACCGTCTTCTTGATCGACTTCGTGACCGTCTATTAAGCAAACCATTAATCAAACAAAAATAAATGTATCAGATCACACTGTAAGAGATACTATATGAACTATCAAATGTTCAGTGATGCTCAGTGACCAAGCAAACATGGACTAGCATGTGCACAACTATTATTTACAGTAGGGGAATTTACTATTTGCTATGCAGAATTAAATGTCTTCCGAGTATAAATGAACTGTTCACTGTCAACGCTGCAAATACTGTATATTCTTGCTTTGACAATATGCAGAACTGTCTGGTATTTTTAGGGTTAATGCAGAGCAGAAGAGGGTGGAGGGAAAAGCCCGGGAAAGAAAGAGGAAGGAAACCTTTGACCTTCACACTAATTGGATAAGGTGATATATGACAGCTAATTTAGGGAGGGAACATGCTGATAATTTAACTGCTCAGAGGAAGAGAACTTAGATCTTAGCATACTTTCAGTATGCCTGTGCCGACATTTTGTAACAATAAATTACTTTTAGGAAAATCAATGCCTGGAAGTTCTTTGAAGTGTTTCATTAGCCGGAACCATAACATTCACACTTTCTTGCAATCTGACAAATTGAGGGTAGCTTTGCATGGTGAAAAGTTATAATTTCACTACAGTTATTAGGCACTGGTGATGTCCATTTATCTGACTGTACGGCTTGAGGTAATCTGAGTGCTAGCAGAAATACAACATATAGAAATGGAAATATTTGTTATGTTTGA